GGGTGTTACATCCTTAATCCCCAATTCTGTTCTTTCTACCTAAATCTGTAATTTATAGTCTCAATTCTTAAATCTTTTCTTATTGATCAATTTACGAGTAATTGCGGGTGTCGAAGATCAAAATCCAAGAGGCATTAGAAGGGGGATTCTTACAGATTATGAGAAATAATCGGTAATTTGATCCCCTGCAGATTGGCTCCATATAGGGTGCATAACTAAATCTGAACCCTTCATTCAGAAAATACAGATCTAAGGGTGGAGAATTAAATGCATTTTTATTTTCTCTAACTTTCTTAATCGGCTCATATCTTCTTCGTTTTAACTCGGAATTTTAATTTTTTTGCACAGATTTGTTGTGCTCTACAAAATGAGATCCATTTTCAATATTTTTTTAGAAAAAAAAATATTTGCATGCCTCTCGTACCAACAACATACCATATGGTATCTTTTTCGTTTTTAAGTCTTTTATGAAAAAATTTCCACAGATGGAACGAGTTTATCATGATCTAGTGGATCTACAAATTTCTGGGTGAACAAAATACAGGACCAAAAAATACCACATAATACAACAAAATACCACTATGGTACGGGCTGGTATCTCTACACAATATATAATAGCACTCCATTTCAAATTTCCTGCAACGAGAGTGAAAGTAGGAATCACATTTTGGTCTTCACAATTACTTTTTTATTATTATTTATTTATAAAAGAGTTACGTATTGGGATTTGAACCGTGACCACTTTAAAGAAAAGCAAGGATCATAACCAATCAAACTAAGTATATTTGGTATATATTTTTAAATTAAAAACATATACGAACCTAAAATCTGAATATCATATGACTTTTTTTTAATGATTAGCTGGCCACCGAATCTCCCGTAAGTATTGTTTTGATACTTGGATTTTCATATTTTATTATTTTAATTGTATTTTAATACTTAATTTAAATTTCTATATATTTTATAAATATATGATAACCTAAAATTATAATCCAAATATCATTGGTTTGAATATTGCATATCGAATTACAATATTAAATATGTAGAAGCAATGTCGACTTCTTAAATTAGTATTAGTTTCCAAAACTACTATGAAACAGTCATATCTTTGTACAAATTATATGAGACTGGTTCTTTTAACATTTTAGTCGGGTTAACCACTACATCTTCCTAATCTGGCATGATTGAATCCAACGATCATTATACGAGATTGAGTTAATAGTGTGGCATTTCACTATATTGACAACCTCCTCTCCTCAGTTGTATTGTGTTCACGAAGATCTGAATGCAGCAAGTGCAACAGGTCCAGGGGTACCGATATGTATAAAGCGTTGGCCAAATTGAATTGATTCGTTCTACTTGAAATATGAAGATTTTTGCTTAATTGCTTTGGTTCGTGATGCGACTATGTTTGAAGGTAGATCAACGCAAACAGTACAGCTCCAGAGCTATTCTGAACATTAGGTAGTTGTGACATTAACTGATAATGATTTGGGATTATTCCATAAAGTACAAAATTTGGGTTACTTGCATTATATCACATGGATTGATAGTGGTTTGAGATTTTGTCAAATGAGTGATTTGACATGTTAAACTCTCCTATTTTTTAAATATAACCTCCGAAGTGGAATATGATGATTTTTTATTAAACTTGGTTTCATAATGCACTTATGGGTGTTTATAAAATGCATTTGTATTACAAAGTAACTCATCTCAAATGCCAAGTTAGGTTACAACGATGCCATACATTATTGTCGTGAGAGGTTTCCTTGATGTCTCAAGGTTTTGGATTTTCTAGAGGGTTGCTTATTGTGACAGAGAGTCCCTAGATGCAGGCTTCTCGATTGTCTGACTAATTCTCGCCTTTTTGCTTATCTTTTTCTATTTGTGGATAATAGTGTTACTACACATAATATCATAGCAGGGAGAAAAAACTCTTTTCCTATTTCAAATTCCCTGCTCCATGAGCGTTTGTAGGAAGGGTAGAATAGGGAGTGTCAATTTTTTTCTCTTTCCTCTGTGGAACGGGCTAACTTACCGTACACATGCAGATTTAAACGGGCCCAAGAATTGTTGCGACCCACAAAAATAGAACAGGTTTCTTTAACCCCTTTTATTTCTCGGTGTTGTTAAGATATATATGAAAGGGCAAAAACAATACTCATTTTTATTGCTAAAAAGAAAAAATTTAATATTAAACTGATGCATGGATTATAATGGGCTAACCGCTAACCATAAAATAAAAGAGTTGAATGAGCCTGACCTATTCGGGATTTGGTCATCAAGTAAAACAAATGAACATCATGGGTCTGCCATCTTAAAACAAGCCATTTTCTCTATCATAACATATATTATGCTATTATTTTATATCTTAGTGGCTAAAATATAACGTATTTTAAAGTTATTAAATGGTTCAACCTCGACCAACCCAATTAGTCCAACTTTTATCATTTCAAATATATATAATGTAATTATTTGATATCATAATGATTAAATTATAGTGTGTTTTATAGGGAATCGTTTGGTATTTGTTAGTAAAAAACTAAACAGAAAGATCCATTTGGTTATTTTTAACATTAAAATGATCCTAAATATTTTCAGTGTCCTTTCAAATTTATATGGTTTTATTCCCGAATCAGTGATGTGCAAATGGCGAATTGCAGTCATCTCTTTCCTTTCACTATCTTTTATTTTCATATAGAAAGTTTGAAAGTAAAGAATAATTAGAGTTTGGCATGGGTAGGTTAAACAGGCTGAATTTCAAGTTTTGGCATGTTTTTATTAAGCAAAATTTATAATCACTTGGTTCCCTGATACCCAATAAAAATATCAATCCAAACTAGTTCGGCAACTGAGTTTGTGTATACCGCCATCTTCTAGGGATACAGGAATGACGGTTCCTATCCTAAATCATGTTGTTCGTTGTTGATTTCTTTAGATTTTATCATGGCCTGGCAAAAACCAAAAAGCACAATGACGACAAGATGAAAGTTTTATAAAGCAAATTAATCGGCCGATAGGCCAAGTAAAAGCTAGCAACGATTATGAGATGCTCATTTCCGGAAGACCGGTGGGATAAGCGATTTTTATTCGATTTTCTCGAATTCTGTTACTATAAAACTTACTCTGCCTCATCATATTACCAGAAATAATATTGTTTCACAAGGTAACAGGAATTTGATTTTTGTTCATAAGGCTGATTTTTGATTCGTTGCACCAATCATGTCTCTTTCCTGCTAAAATTCACTATGTTTAATTCTTTATCACGTGTTTCCAAAAAAAATATACAAATAAGTTGTACACCCCATTATATTCTCAAATTTCACACCTCACGCTAGTATATTATTATTGTTTAAATTAAATGATTAAGAGGGCGAGCTAAGAAGAGCTCCTCAGTTTCAGGCAGGAAGTCAGCGCCCAAAATTCCCCCACATGCAACAGCCTGTTGGTCTATTTCAGGCCAACCCAGATCGGTCATCTCCCTTCACTCCGGACATCTAAATCTGATAATGGCCAGGACCCAATCGGAAGGTATCTGCTGCCTCGACAAGGTCTCACACTAGAAGAGCTAACCAGAACTCCGACCTTACCCTCCTTTCAGGTTGGTTTCCTTACGCGATATATGTCAATCAGAAGGGTGGATTGATAGAAATATAAATTATTATAATAATTAGAATTAATATTGTTAGGATTAGTAGGGTTAGGTGGCTAATGTAGCTGAGTAGGTAATGTTAATTGTTAGGTTTTTCGGGTTTATGTCCAATAAATATGTACTTGGGTTTCATTGAGAATTAATCACAAAAGTATTAAGCAAATATCTCTAGAACCCTATTCTTCTAATCCTCTAAATCTCGTCTATCTCTCGGGAAATGTATGGCGGGAAGACATGGTGATGGGTGTCACATGGCGAGTGAAGAGTCGAAGAAAGTTGGAGTTGCTTGAAAGAGGTTCTATCATGAGATGGAGCGCAATTGGCAACAAAGAAAGCGGAAGTTGACTGCCACCTTCAATAAAAAGTCGCTTTCAAGGAGGGTGGATTGTTAGAAGTATCAACTATTAGTATAAATTATAATTAATATTGTTAAGATTACTGGATTAGTAGGGTTAGGCGGCCAATGTAGCCAAGTAGGTAGGGTTAAATTTTAGGTTTTTGGGATTTATTTCTTATAAATATGTACTTGGGTTTCATTGAGAATTAATCGTAAAAGTATTACGCAAATATCTCTAAAATCCTCATCTCCCAATCCTTTCCTTAGAATCTCCTCTATTTCTCCATTAAGGTTTTGGTTGTTCTTCCCTATTCTTCTCAAATTTATCTAAATCCCTAATCGCCAATTCTGTTCTTTCTATCTAAATCTCTAATTTCTAGTCTCGATCCTTAAATCCTTTTTTATCGATCAAGTTATAAGTAGTCGCGGGTATCGAATATCGGAATCCGATAGGCCCTAAAAGTGGGTTTCTTGCACATTTATGAGAAATAATCGGTAACTTGATCCGCGTGCAGATCAACCCAATCGATCAAAGACACAGGACATAAACAGACTCGAGAAATTGAAATGATGCAAACAAAGAAGTATAGAAACCCGGATCCCAATTCCAGATCCGTTACAGCCGTCAATCTGATAGAACCTATTCCTCTATCACGATTGATCCTCTTTGCCCAAAAGCCCTATACCTCTTTTTCACCCCGTACCTAAGTACAAGGAAAAGAACTAATATATATTGACTCAAGAAGCATCCAAGTAGCCGTTGGAGATGATACAGCAGATTTGACAACCTTCCAAGTATCACTCGCTTGATTCCTGCTTTCCATTTGAGGCCGAGTCAATCTCTGCATTTCAGCCAAACAATCTTGCATAATTGATTCGCAATTCTGACTTCTTATCTTTCCAAATTCGTCCAACACTTTCCTGCAGTACTGTTACTTCTGCTGGCTGGGCTAGTGGCTTGGGGTTACCAAGAAATCCAACCACCTCCGCCCAAGATATGTGGTTCTTCTGATGGACCGCCAGTCACAGCATCGAGAATCCAGCTTCGTGATGGAAGGCATTTGGCTTACCAAGAACATGGACTGTCAAAGGATGTTGCCAAGATTAAAGTCGTCTTCATCCACGGCTTTGACGTCTGTAGGCTGGATGATGTCATTGCCACTTAAACATCTCCAGTATGTATGTTTATTTTGTTGTTGTGGCGTAGCCTCATCATGCTTTAGCTATTGTCATCGTTTGATATTCTTTAATTATGCTTTCTGGTCAGGAACTTGTCGAGAAGTTGGGGATCTATTTTGTGTCGTACGACAGACCTGGTTATGGGGAGAGTGATCCCTATCCATCAAAAACAGTGAAGAGCTAGGTGTTCGACATAGAAGAGCTTGCTGATCAATTGGGACTGGGGACTAAATTCTACTTAATCGGTTATTCGCTTGGCGGACAGATAGGATGGGGTTGCCTGAAGTACATTCCTCACAGGTAAAGTTTGTAGATGTCGATTCAGCAAATTAGATGTTGTATTTTGATGCATTTTTTTTTTCTTATTGGCTTCTTGTTTTCCTTTGCCCGCAAACAATCTTCAGGCTTGCAGGGGTGACATTGTTGACCCCAGCCAGTAACTACTGGTGGCCTGGTTTTCCTTCCAATTTATCTACTGAAGCCTTGTACAAACAACCACCTTGTGACTACTGGTCTCTTCGTGTGGCTCATTATGCTCCCTGGTTAACTCATTGGTGGAATACCCAAAACTGGTTTCCAAGTCTTGGTGCAACAAAACCTCATGTTCTTTCTCGTGAAGAAAGAGAAGTTGTGGCGAAGCTTATAGCTAAAGGAGCTAATCATAGGGTAATTTTCATCTGTGCTGGAATCTTTCCCTTGTAGCTTTATTTATCCCTTCTGTTTCTTCTATCTGCTTAACAACAATGGTGCAAGTTGAACGACTTGGCTCCAGCTGTATTATCGATTTGATAAGCTAGGCAGTTAATGATATCATTTAATGTTGTTACTAGGAGCATGTAAGGCCGCAAGGAGAATACGAGTCTCTCCACCGTGACCTGAACTTAGGATTTGGCGCGTGGGAGTTCGATCCCGTGGAGATGGAGAACCCTTTCACGGGCGAGGAAGTCTATGTGCATCTGTGGCAAGGAGACGAAGACACTCTGGTGCCTGCTACACTGCAGCGCTACATTGCGGATCGCCATTCTTCTTGGATTCGGTACCACGAGCTGGCTGGTTCTGGACACCTTTTCCCCCATGTCGATGGGATGGCGGACACCATTGTGAAGACGATGGCGAATGGCAAGCAGTAAGCTTTCACAGGCCTGCGCGCGCGAGACTTGTCGTTGAATTGAACCTCGGTTCTTTACCAGGCTGGTAAATTCAAAGCATTTGGTGACATGTTGTTTTAGTTTCAGCTTTCGGTGCCATATATTGTTGTGCATTACGTTGTTTAGAGTTTGAGATTTTCTGTAAAATTGATGGTTAGACAAAGCTTTGGGAGTTTTCCTTTATGGTCTGGGTATAAAAATATGGAATACCCACATTTGTAGCTATAGTCGCGATCCGTAGATGCTTTCCTAGAAAAAAGATAAATGACAAACATTACCGGAACAGTTGGTGGTTGTGCTTTGTTAGAAACATTGATTTATCTGAGGTAGTGGGGAAAAGGTGGCATTATTGCCGCCATTTCACATGCTCTGCTCTGGTGATCATGATGTAGATCCTCCTATGTATAATGCCACCCACGTCACAAAACCCTGAGTAGCAAGAATTTAAAAGAAACAGAGCGTGCGTATGAAGCAAGGTTGTCAACCCGCGCGTCGACTCGCGGTTGACTCACTTTAACTCTGACCCGGTGAGAAAAACGGGCCGCACGCACCCGCCGGGTCGACCACTATTAGGTACCGGGTTGGAGGTCAAATTGTGCCATTTTTTTTCTTTGTTTTGCGAAATGCTCCTATTTTCCGATTTTTCTTTTCGCCACACTCAATCTTTGGAATCCTAAGTTGAATATTTGAATATTAATGTTATATAAGTGTGTGTGAATTTTCACTATATGTTGAATCTAAGTACGAAATGTTATTTTGGTGTAATATTATATGTTATAACTCATGTGTTAGATGAAATTTGATATAATTTATCAGGATAAATACAATATAATGACGCTTTTCATATTTCCGGGCTAAAACGGGTGACCCATTAACCCTTGACCCACTAGCTGAACCAGATTCGGGTCAACCCACGGGTTGACAGCGTTGGTATGAAGTGATTTCAAAAGACACCTTCCAAATAATGAAATGAAACGAAACCCCCACACCCACTCCCAATACCAAAACCAATCATATAACTCTACCTAACACCACTTCCAAATCCACCCTCTACATCGTGGCTACTGCGCCTAAATGAGAGAGGAAAAGGGTTTCTACTTTCTACACGAATTCAAAGTACTCAAATATCCAAACTTACAGCTGTAAGTATTAGACTAGCTAGAAGTCTGTTGGTTAATATTATGCAATACTCAAAACCACAGAACAGGGCATGAAGATGATGCCTTTTCTTTAACACATCGAAACTACAGAGTACAACCAACGAGACGACGAAAATGGTACATAATTCTGGGGGAAAAAATTGTTAACCGAATAAAGACAGCATCATCATGCTAGCTCGGTAAAAAATTATCTCCTTTTTTCTCTTAACTAAGGCTTGACAGTAGCTTTAGGATCGAACTTCCTTCTCATCATAACAATCTCCTTGCTACTCAACCCAAAAGCCTTCTCCAGCAGCGAATTGTCAATCCCGGACCCGAACACGGCCGCCGGAATCCGCTGGCTCCCCGGATTCTGACTATTGAAGCTCCCGAAAATCGTGGCGGGGACTTCGCCGACGTTCATCTGAAAATGCATCAAACCCCTGGGGAACACCATCACTTCGCCCTTCTCCAGCACCCTGGCGAACACCTTGTTGTTGGAATCCACGAAGCCGGCGTAGAGCCTGCCTTCAACGACGTGGGCGATCTCGGTGGCTCGCGGGTGGAAATGGGGCGGGTTGATCGCCCCGGGTTTGAAATCGGCCCGGACGAAGGACATCCCCATGGTGTTGAGACCCGGGAAGGTGGTCGGGTTGACGGGTATGGATGCGAACCCTGTTTCGGAGAAGTTGCCGGGGGTTTTCATACCGGAGAACACGAAGTCGCCGGCGGTGGCCTCCGCCGCGTCCTTGCAAGGGTGAATTGTTGTTGCTGCGGTGACGTGTTTGGGTGTGGTTGGAGATGTGGGAGGCGGGTTGGGGATGCAGAAGTCTTGGACCGGGTCGGGGTCCGAAGCTAGGACGAGTGAGAACAGAGAGAGCCCCTGAAGAAGCAATACGATTGTCGTTTTCGGCGACATTTTTTCTTTCTGTTGGAAGCTTGTAATCGGATTGTTAAGGTGGAACGGTGGTGGAGGGTAATGTGGGTTTTATAAAGGAATTTAAATGAGAAAGGAGAGGGGGGAGGATTTTGTATTGTAATGATGATGTTGTCTTCTATTTCTTGGTGGCTTGGGGGAGAAAGGGATGTGTCACGGGGAGTCAACTATGGCATCACGCTCTCTCTTTAGGCTAATTAGTAGTTTAGTTTATTATAAATGATGAAAGGAAAGGATCAAAAGTGCACCTAAGATCCTTGGTCAATTAAAAGGTTACTAGTTTTGACGTTGTTCGGATTATTTTGATTTATTAATTATGGAATGGGGGAGAGAGTTAGAGCAGGAAAAACATTTATTTTGGTCGAACTCACAATTTGAATCTATTTGAGTGCATATAATTATACCTATAAATAAATATCGATCATCTAGCTATTCGCATTAAACCAATTCACAACTTCATTATCGGTGTTTCCACATTTATGTTTGTTATACAAAAAAAAAATTGCAAAAATTACATTAGAGTTTATATTCATTTTTTTTTTTGTATCCAATGTAATAGGTCTAATTTAGACTCAAATTAAATAGTCGTTTATTGGTATGACCTTCAAGTGATATTACCAAATATGATTTGACTGGTAATAAATTGGGTTTGGGAAGGATGTTTTTTGCAATTCATAGTGGAGAGAACTTTTTAGGCCACGTTTGGCATTAGTTGTTCATTCACCACCATATTCAACGCTAAGGTATCACTTTCCCATAAGACTTTTTAATTTACTGCGAAATGAGATGTTCTAAATTCCTTCAGTTTTGCGTTTCAAAATAGTAAATTTGCAATCACTTATTTACATAGTTTCCATTTCCTACTTTTAAATGTGTGAGATTTAAAGTTTCTTTATCCAAATTTCATAGCAAAATATGAACCTGTAAACATTGGCAGAGGTGAGTGAACAACTAAAGATCACAATGATTGTAGCTTTAGTGGTATGGAGGTATGTTTGAGCTCATAAATCAATTAACAGCATCTCATCTTTCATTGAAAACTAAGCAAAATTTAGAGAGTCGTTCATTGTTATATAAAAGTATTTGAGTAAAATATGATTGGAAACTGAAATTGCATGCATTAGTGAATAATAAAGTTCTTAATATATATATATATATAATAGAGCCGTATATTATACCTATAACTCATTAAAAGAGCAGTATATGATTGGGTAATTTTGACCTAGGTGGAGAGAAACACCTTGTTAAAAGAGGCTTAGGGAAGCTTGATTCTTGACCAATTTATGTCACCCACCTAGCCAAATTGAGGACAAACCTTAAATTACTCATAATTAGTGAGTGTTGATTGCATTATCTCTTTGTTATGTCAAAGTTAGCATAGTGGGCGGAAATCCCTTTTTGGCCCACAGGGAGCTTGACCTCCTAGCCTCTAGGGTAACCCCTTCTAGGTTTATCTAGGGCCAAAATCTCAAGTATCGGAGTAGTACCACAATTCTAGCGTGATTGGTATATCCACCGTGCGAGTTAAGATCTGAGGGCTTGGTTTGCAATCCTTAGTCGACCGGTTTAGAGGGGTAAGATCGTCTAGCCTATTGTTGTCATCCTTAGCCGAAAGGGTAAGAGAGTTAGTCCACTAACTTAATGCAACAATCCTAAGTTGGTCGACTAAGAGAGTTAGGGTTTATTCGGTTGATCGGTTAAGAGAGCTAGGTTTCCTAGCTTTTTGTCACAATCCTTAATCAATCGACTATGAATGTTTATCCCTAGCTAGTTGCACCTACCTCACGGTATAAGAACAAATTCTTCACACTAGAGTTTCGTTCATTGCTTCTTAATATGAGACTAGGAGGAGCAATACCAGGTGAAGTCCTCTCAAGTAGAATACTCATCGATTTACTTTCCTTGTTTGTTTACTTGTAGTTTTCTTAGTTTTAAACCCAAAACCGCTTGCTAGATAACAATCTAAGCAATTGAAGTAGGGGTACATGGACCGACCCGAGTTTGACAATTAAAACGCACTTGCCCTATACTGCACCCGGCTAGAGTTTAAAAACTTGTGCTCTAGTCGGGATTAATTCGTGATGTAGTTCGTGCGAGTCAAAGCGCAAAAGTGTAAGCTTTTAAACATTCTATATATTTGATTGAAATTTTCAAACCATTACTTTTATTCTACAAAATATAAACAAATAAGTGAACTGGGTCATATATTAAAGATCACTCTCACACATAAATTAAATTAATAGACTTTTAAACAAACATTCACCACCCTGTAGGCAAACTTCACTTATAAGTGAAAGTAGCAACAATGGGAAGGTGAAGGAGAGAAGCTTCAATGACAACGTATTCATAAAGGTGGGATGGGAAAAGACATTGGCGGCGGAAATCTTGATGCGACGTGTGATGGATTCTTCGAGGTTGAGAAAAGACGAGAACGGAGGAGAAGTGACAATGAATTAGGGATGAGGAATCTGTAAAAGGAAAAACTGAAAGCATAACTCGACTGAAAAACAAATAAAAATGCATTGTTTTTCTCTTTTGGGTAGCAAAACCAACCAAACCCAGCCCAATATGATAGGGTGTGCCACAGATTGTTCCATAGCAGACCAGACTGGATCAAATTGACATCAACAAGGGACCACAACTTTCAAATATAATGTGATTTGCTCCTTGGTCCTATGAAGACAATGAACCTCTCACTTATTTTATTTTTGGATTTGATTTTGCATTCTCACTTATCGCATTCCCTCGAGTTCAAATATGAAGACAACGAACCTCTCCTCTCCATCGATGTTGATGAAAATGAAGAAATATAAACGAGACTAAAATGATGAAGTCTTGAAGTGGGTAAAACAAAAAAGGCATGGTTTAAGAAAATATAGATGGGAATTAAAATAATTATGTCTCAAAATTAGTTTATTTCATCAAGTGGGTAAAGGAAAATGAAGAAATATAAACGAGACTAAAATGATGAAGTCTTAAAGTGGGTAAAACAAAAAGCAAAATCTAGAACACTGAGAATTGAACCTAGGTCTTTTAGGATAGAAGTAAAGCTTATTACCACTAGACTACTTATTAGTTTTTATATGTCACAATGTACTAAACATGTGGATTTATATTTTTACTACATATCGTTAAAGTCCTACGGGCTGAGACCATTCCCGGGTGGGTCGGGGCCCACCTACAATCAATGTAGCTCCGCCCCTGATCAAAGACATATTTAATTAGAATTAATTTTTCAATTAGAATTAACGAGATAAATGAAATCGTGAATCAATTATAATACTGGATCGATTCTTGGATTTGGTTAGTCAACTATGGACTAGCCGGTTATTTGTGATTGGTCATGGAACTGCTAAAATCTCCCCGATTTAAGTGGTTCACTGGTTCAATGTTTTTGTCCAAAAAAACTTGACCACTAAAAAATATTATGAGAGGCACAAATTTTTAATTAGAATTGAACTAGCGAGATCGTTTCTTGGATCGATCAACAATGGACTAGCCGGTTGTTTGTGATTAGGCTTTGAACTGCAAAAATTGCTATGACTTAAGCGATTCATTGGTTCAGTGTTGTTTCCTAGAAAACTTAACTACTATAAAAATATTATGGGAGATAGAAACTTGAAAAAGTAACTAATTACCATAACATCTTTTTTACCTCTCTATTTCATTTTTTAATTAACCATCATCTTCCTTTCTTTATTTTCATCTTTGCCTTCTTCGTCCAACACTCCTTATTGTATTATATATGTATTCTAATTTAACGGATCCGTAGATAATTCACCACCATAAAATTTAATAATTAAACCATGAACAACTAATCTTTTGTGCTTAGTGCAAAGTCCAATTATAAACACAAAGATTTTTCTTCTTAGTAGTAGTTGTCATTTTCCTCCCTACTTCTCTCCCTATAATTTGAAGATATGTAAATTTTTTAAACAGAGTTCCACTTTTTTTTTTTTTTTTTTTGTTTCTCTTTAGAGCTTTTCTTTCCTATTTGAGTTAGAATCTTCTACAGTTATCCACAAATTTATATTATATTTATACATATCAAATAAAGAATCATCCCTAACCAATTATCATATTAAAAAAAATAATTATCATCTTAAATGCATCACTAAAATGATTAAATATCCGTGGGTAACCACAACAACCGAATAATTGACCACCTCGCAACAAAGCGCGATCCCTGTCTAGTAATCCTAAATTTTAAAGTATGAGAATGAGATACCGCTCCTAGCTCGGCCCTAGCTAAACGTTGCCGCTACTGTTGCACGCATGGATAATGGGGAAGGTCGAGTAATTAATTGTCATAGGTGCATCATGTTAATCATTGTAGGCTAACTGTAACTTTTAATGGCAACCGCGTCGTCGTCGCAATCGGAAAACATAAAGGAAAGTTGGAGTACAGATAATTAGTGCTGTGCTGATGCAGGGTACGCGTGCAAGGCAACGATTCCTCGATCGCTTTGGATTAATAATAGGATTATCGTCATCATGACTTGAACACTAGTGCCTGCGTTTATATATGATCACTCAGGCTCCGGCGGGGAACCTGGTGAGCTGTCCCTCCCCCCACTAATTTGCAATGCTTCCTAAAGAAGGGAGGATTGAGCGGTCATCTTTTCTTAAAGAAGAAGGGTCTTGTGTTGTCGATGACTTCGGGGCATGATGGTGTTCCCATAAATTTTACATAGGGATAGGGGTGTCCACTTTAAAAACGAAAAAAATAAATACAAATAATTCTAAAATAATTAATAAGAAATATTTAAATAAGAAATACTTTACTCATACATTGAAAAAATTCACAATGTGTTTTCATATTAAAAAATGATTCTAGAACACACTTAGTTTCTACACTATTCAAAAAAAATTGTCTCTGTATATCATATTAGACAATCATTCACGAACTGATCACATATTCAATTTCTAAACTTGTTTTTGATGTAATCAAAAGCTGAAAAGACTCTTTCAATACTTGTTGTACAACCATAAATCAATACAAATTAAGGGTAGCTTGAAAT